CTAAAGCGCGGCCGGAGCGTAAGGCTGACAACCTCACCGCCATCTGTGAGCCGATTGCCTATAAAATATGGGAAACTCGACGTCTCAAAAACCTATGGGCCTCCACAGCCTGTTAGAGGAATAGATTAGAAAAAAAAACACGGTTGCCGTGATTAACAAGAAATTCTGATAATCCTGTACAACTAGCATTAGTAGGTTATACAAGGCTTCCGAAATGCATTCTTTTCATCTCACAGTAGGAATACGTGTTAGGTTTCCTGCATAAAGAAGGATGGCTTGCAAATGATTGGAGCTGAGCCCTTCTGCAGCTACTCAAGAATTTCCCAGAATTTTATGGAACCCAAAGGTTCATTGCCGTGTTCACAAGAGCTCTCCGCTGGTCCCTATCCCCAGCCAGATCAAACCAAGCCATATCACCCTATCGTACTAATCTAAGATTCTTTTTAATATTGTCCAATCACCTACGTTTTGATCTTCCCAGTGGCCTCTTTCCTTCTGACTTTTCCACCAATTTCCTATATGCATTCGTCTTCTCCAAATTAGTGCTACATGCCCTGCTCACCTCATCCTCCTTGACTTGATCATTCTAATTATATTTGGAGAAGAGTACAAGTTATGAAGCTCCTCATTATGCAGTTTTCTCCAACCTCCTGTCACTTCATTCCTCTTCGGCTCAAATATTCTCCTCAACACCCTGTTCTCAAACACCCTCAGTGATTCGTATATAAATATGTATAAAATTTATTTGAGGTTGCGTCATCATCAGATAGTGACGTCACGTTACGTCACCATTAGGAAGTCAGTAGCGTTAGTGGATTCTATTTTCAGCTTACCAGAATTGCCATACTAGAGATGTCGGTGATATGCATGATACTTCTTCTGTAGGGTCGCCTATTTAAGGTTTGACGTACCCTCAGATACTAAGTACTTCTTTACTTTCTTTACGTCGTGGTGTTGGACTGCACTGCAGTTTCTCTACAAACAGTGTCAGGTCTTCTCTCCGTGCTCTTCCGCTTTAAATGAGGGCACGCGGTGGCGTACTTGGTTGAGGCACTGTGCTACAAGCCGGAAGGTCGCGTAATCATCACAAAATCATTGTTCCTTGTCCTTTGCTTAGTCCGTTAGTTGCTTAGTTCCATATGTTCCACATATCCCAGAATGGTTGTTAGGTTTCTGAACAAAATTCTTTTAACAGGATGAGGTTGTTAGCCCCATGCCCAACCCCCAACCTGGAGGACCGGGGTATCACTCTTAGTTAGTTTAGTTTAGTTATTTAGAGAGGGTGGGTTTCCCCATGCACCGCGACCAGTTTGATCTATTGTGCTTCCCTCTATGATATTCTACCAGTCTCTATACCCTACCGATAAATGGTGCGTATCATCAGTCCCGCCGAGCAAGCGAGTTCGGCCACTTGCTTAGCGGTATCTATAATCCTTCCCCCATCTATCAGAGGCCTTAGAGACTATTGTTGGGCGGGAAACGTCCTGGAATTTG